CACGTCTGGGTACCGAAGGACACCGCGGGGCGATGGCTGGGGTCCCCTGGCAGTAAATCAACTCCTGCTCTACACTACCCAGAACCCCCCCACTTCACACCAGTGGTTTTTTCCAAGGGGAGAGCAGATGGGGCCACATCTGTCGGGAATTTTTCCCGGGCACATCCTGGCTTTGAAAGCACCAAACAGCCGCATATTTTGCTTTAAACGCCAATGTGCGATATAGGGCCAAGCGCTCCCTGAGCCAGGGGCCAGAAAGCTGGGGAGCCAGCCATGCAGTTCGCTTGGCAGACACTTGATGGGGCTACGAAACCGATTACCGGCACACCTGGCAGAAACGGGGCGGGTGGGGGGCAAAACAACCTCTGCCAGATGTTTTGGGGGGGTCCTGCTTTGCGGGTCCCAGGCTGGCATTGCAATAGGTGTCAGCACCCATGCGGGATGCTGGCCCTGGTGCAGCAGCACCCGGCGCTTGGCAGCTTCGCTTTGGCCTTCGGTCGCATCCTGGATGCTCTGCGGCTCGGGGAGGATTGCCAGTATCTGGACAAAGCTGGAGGCTTTACCCCCCAAAGATTTTCCGTGATCTGTTTGGAGAAGTACCGGCATGATGGAAAGGGAGAGCAGGCAGCTCCGGCAGCGCTGCCTTGCAAAGCACTGATTAAGTTTTTTTGCTGCTGTTGCAAGACAAGGAGACCTGGTTACCTCCTGGCTCGCCACTGCCTAAACCCAGGGTTTTTGCAGGCTGCTACGGTGGGCATCGGTGGGATTTTCCCATGTTTCACCCCAAAGCAAGGGGACGATGGGGAGATGCAGTCCCAAAGCAGAACCCGAGCATGGCGAGAGGCGCAGCCCCCGCAATGCGGAGCCCGCTGCGGGCAAGGGCCAGCCCTGAATTCCCCGAACGCTGCTGTCAAACTTTCCGGCACGGCTCTAAATCCACCAGCCCTTGCCTGGCTCCAGCTGGCTGAGCAAGCTGGCAGCGGCGTGTGGGCAAGAGCAGATAGCGAGAGTCAAAGCCTCTCCTGCTTGAGGAAAAAAAAAAAAGAGACAGTCTCCATAAATCATGAGCTAGTTACTGACGGAGAGGACTCCCCTCCCTCTTGCTCCACACACTGCGGCACAAATTATGGCCCCAACTTCGCTGTTGTTCAGTGATGAACATCTGAAAAGGCTGTGACAGATGAGAAAAGGGATGATTTAACAGCCATAAATCCAGCCAGCTTAGAGGTGTTTTTACAACCAAACCCATCTTGAATCCCCTCTGTTATGAATACTTATCACTCCCAGACACTACTACAATGGAAAGATTTTTAACAGCTTTAATAGAGATGCAATAAAACCCCCAGAGCCCAGCAAGCAAACATCCTTTTTATCCCTCAAGGGATGGAGAGGGGGCTGAGAGCCTCTTGCTGCGCTCGGGCTTGAAGGATCAGAGCCGGAGGAGCCACCAGACCACCGCTAACCCCTGAGTTTAATGGATGGGTGGCATCATCCAAGAACTGTATCAGCTTTCCTAAAGCCGTTGCGTGGAGGGTGTAATTAATACCCCCCCAGGGATGGGGTACATGACGTACAGCACCTTTCCCCTCCGGTGCTGCTCTTACCTTTGCCAGGGTCTCCTCCTGCAGTTACCCAAATCACAGCTGGTCTAACCCACCTTTGGGGATTTAAAATGAAGGTGGTTTCAGCTCCACTAAAGACCCTTCTGGGTAGGGTGCCATCCCTCAGCTGCCCCTCGCTGCTTTTAACGCACCTCGTTTCTCATTCATTAAAGGCTAAACGGGCTCAACGACCACCACCCAACGAGCAGGACAAGGACACTGGTCCTCAGTGCTTCAGGGGGGTCGGGAGATCTCCCAGCTCGGGGTTAAGTGGCCAAGGATCTCACTCCCTCTTGCTGGGCATGCTGCCCCTATAGCTTCTCTATACCATTCTGCAAGTGCTGGCTGCACCCAGCCAGCAAAATCAGGGGCTGGGAGGTGCTGGGGGTGCACCCGCTGCAAAGGGCACCCAGCGCTGAGCAAATACCTGTGGAATAAGCACCTCCTTTCTTATATATGTAAGCTTATTAGGCATGGCAAGGTGATAAGCAATTAATCGGTCAGAGGGAACAAAAGCACTCCCAGGGCACGTGGCTTCTGGTTTTCCATAGCTGGTCAGCCCGCACCCACGTAAAAGCCCAGGTAAAACATCCCAGCACGGGCTGCGGGGCTGATGGGTTTCCCTCCTGCAATGGAGTGCTCCAAGGAGGGTAATTAAAAAAAAAAGAAGGAACGGGACAGGCTCCTTCCTAAGAGAAAGGTGGCCATGAAACCCTGTTCTCGAGAGAGAAACCGGCATTGCAGGGCAGGGAACAGGCTCGCTTGGCCATACGGAGACCTGAGGGGATATGGTCTCTGAAGCCTGGGTGGAGGATGACACTCCCAGCCCATTAATCCAAGGGAACATCTTTTTTTAATAAGATAATACTGAGTAATTGATTTTTAAATACAGTGAAATCAAATGTCCCGAGGCCAGAGCAGGATCCCAGCTCCACTGTCAGATCAGCAGCGACTGGCAGAGATTGAGCGCACAGGGGAAAAAAAATAAAAATTAAATCTCCCTCATGTGCCTAGCTGGCTCCAGGGCAAACGCTAACATTTCTTTAAAAGGTGCATCAATTTTACCCTATTAAAAAAGTAGGTCATCAAAAGGGAGAAGCTGGCAGGGGCTGAGCTGGGGAAGGCACCAGGGACCATCGAGGCTGAGCAGGGAGAAGATCCATCTGATTAAAGCACATGACAACGATTGAGCGAGAAAGTAATTTTTAAGACATTTTATTCCAATCTCTCTCTCTTACTCCATCTTTCACTCAGTCCTAGTTGAGAAGGGTTTATGGACTTTTTTATTTTATTTTAATTTTTTTTTTAGAAAAATACACATGCAAATAATATATTTCACCGCTAAACTCTTTTTTTCATGTTGGGAAAAAAAAAAATACTAAAGAAACAAAGCAGGGTTCGGGTAAGACCCGAGTGGAGACAGACGCAGGGATGCCGCGGGGATGGGATGCTCCAGGATGCAGGTCTTGGTGCTGAGCTGCTTGATGCTCGTGCTCCAGCACATCCTTTCCATCAGAAAGGTGTTCGTCAGGGCGAGGGGTGCACGTTAGTCCCCTCTGGCAGCGCCTCACCCCGACAAAAACCCTTCTCCCATAACTCTGCCCAGGTTTGGGAATGGCCAAGGGAAAGCCGGTGCTGGATCCGATCCTTCTACAAGAGCCAGCTCCGAGCAGAGTCCCAGCCCCAGCAGCAAGGGAAGCCCACCTTAGGTAAAAGCATCGTTTTAACGCTAGGAAATGACACCAAAAACAAAGAGCTACATGGAAAAAAAACCCTCTTATGCTATTTATCTTACGGGTTACGGCTGACAGCATGGGGAAAAATGGACTGACGGTCCCTTGAAACATGGACTTATGTTTCAGGATAATGTTTTTGGGGTGAGACTGAGTGCTAGACCCTTGGTTGCGTGAGGCTGGGGTTTTCTGACCCCATGGGCAGAGCCGACCGGGTCCCTTCAGAGCAGGGAGGCACCCTGCGGAGGGCAGCAGTGATGTCCCCGTGTCCCCAGCCTCGCTGCAAACGCCGTACCAAGGTCCACGGCAGAAAAAAAAACAGATATGCTGCATACCGGGTAGCTGCCATCACTCGAGCAGAATAGATGTACTTAAGACAGGGCTATTTCAGGTTTGATTGATGATCAGCTGGAGCAAAGGGGCTGGGGAAGGAGAAGGGCAGTGAGCTGCAGCCTGGGCAAGGAGGGCGATTAATCTAATACCACGGCCGCTGTGGGAAGCCAGGAGGCTTTGGGAAACGTCGCAAGCCTGCGGCAGCCCCGACGCTGACGATGCAGCAGGGAGTGGGCGCAGGGGGGATCTGCCTCGCTGCTGTTTTGCTACCTCCTCCCAAGCCGCTTTCGCGTGGAGCATCTCTGCCTCCTCTCCCGGCGATCCCACCCAAGGCCATGGCTTTTTTTCCTGCTCATCCAGGCTAATGATATGGAGTGAACTGCGTTTTCTCTCTGCCCAGAGGTACAAAATCACACAGGCAGCTGAGGGAAGGTTTCCTAAGGGAAGGATTTCCCTCCACCTCCCAAGGAAGGCAGCAGCACTTTGCCAGCCCCATCCCTGCTCCCAGCAAGCCCCCGCACTGCCCACGTCCCCCGGCCAGTGGTGACATCCCTGGCTACACAACCCAACCCAACCTGTTGCCAGACTGACCCAGAGCCTCCCATCCAGCTACTGCATCCCATTGCCATCCTCAGCAGCCGGCTCCTGCATTGCCGGCACAAACCCACGTGCTGTGAACACCCGGTGCCTCACTACAGAAGGAGATGGGTCAAACTGGAGGCAGAGCCGGCTGCTCTCCCCCGGCAGTGGCTTCCCTCGGCGGCTGGATGTGACCCCAGCGGCTGGATGCGGTCCCTGCCATCACCTCCCGCATCCCTGCTCCAGCTCCAGCCTCTGTCGTTCTCGCCCAGCGGATGCCGGCGGGGAGAGGCAGCAGGAGACTCCCAGCCTTGGATTCCTCCGGATTTACCACCGTCCACGGCAGCCTCGGAAAGGCACCGAGCAGCAAACATGTTTGGCAGCTCTGCGCTTGCTGCCGTTGTGCTACGAAACACCGAAGACCACAGGCAGCGTTTCATGGCGGGGCTGGAGACACAGCGATCCAGCCCTCATAAACACACCTGGGGGCAGCAGCAGTCACTGTCTTTTTGCTTTTCTCTTCTTTTTTGTTGTTTTTTTTTTTTTTTTTAACTGACAAAATACACATCTGGGACTGCCTACTCTGAAAATAGATGCTGGAGGGTCTGGCAGGGCGGGGGGAGCTGTTTGGCTCCTATTTCTACAGGCTGCCCTGGTGCAGCTCTAAAGTTTGGTGGACGATCATGCAGGTTTTATTGCAGCTTGTGTGTGTGATATTTTTTTTTTCTTTTAAGTAGCCCAGCTTCAGTTTCAGGTAGCCCCGAAGGTGGGTTTCTCTCCCCTCCCCACCCGCTCTGGCTGCCATCTCTCCGCCTCAGCATGCCGGCCAGGCGGCTATTCGGTGGCCATCTGCTCGATGTGGTCACTGAGCAGCTTGTATTGCTCTGCGGAGGAGAAAGAAAAGGGCACTGGGAGGGTGCCAAAGCATCCTGGCCAAGCAGGTGGGCTCCATCCCTCCAGGACCCTGCAAAGGGGGTGCGCATCCCCCCGGGCTCGCCCCTACCTTCGTCCAAATTGCCGATGGTCGCCTGCTTCTTTAGGAAGTCGCTGCAGAGCTTCTTGTTCAGGCCGAACGCCAGCATGTTGTGAATGAAGGTGCTGAGGAAGGACAGAGATGCTCTTGGTGAGGGCAGGGCCAGGCTGCCTTTTCTTCCCCCCCCCCCAGCCTCCTCTTCATTCCCGCAGCCCCTTGTAGAGGGTGCTGGGATGATGCTCGGCTGCGGGACAGCGTGCTGGGACCCTGCGGTGCCTGGATTTGCAAAGTAAAGGGCAGGAGCAGGTCCCCGGGGAGAAGCACCAAGCATCCTCTGCACTGTCAGGGAATGTCCCCGGTGGGGGGAACATCTGTAAGGCGTCCCACCCACAGCTGGCGAGGCCGAAACCGCAGAACCAGGCTGCAGGAGGGACGGTCCCCGTGCCCTGCTCACCCCAGCTGCCCAAAGGTGATGTTCTCGTTGAAGCGGAGGCTGTCGTCACGCTCCTCCTGCGTCATGTGGCACCACTTCTCCCTGCAACGCACAAACCCGTTCTGGCATCGCCATCACCCCGGGACCCCCCCCTGCCTGCATCCCCCCCTCCCCGGGACCACGCTGGCTGAGGACAGGAGGGCAGCGAGAGCCCCTCGGCTGCCAGCCCGCATGCAGCGCTGGATGAGCTCGCACACCCGCATCCATCCGCAGATCTCTCGCCCTGGGGTAAAGCAAGAGACACCCCTGAAAAAAGTCGTCTTCAACCTTGGCTTTCTAGGAAAATAGCTAGGAAATAGCAGTGGCCTCTCCAGCACAGAGCTCACGTCTCTCACCTTCGGTGCCGTCGCTTCAGCGAGGGGGACGAGCGAGGGAGCAGCAGGGGGTTGCAGCTCTTGGGGATGGGCATCCCAGCAGGGCTCTGCTGAAGCCCCCCCCCAAACCCAGGAGGGGTACTGGGGGGGGTACCAGGCACGTCCCCCCTGTCTGTAGTGGGGCTCCAACTCCCCGAGCCCCAAGCAAGCTGCTCCCCAAACATACCTCGCCCTCCAACAGCACGGGGGGGCTCCCACATCCCTCCCCATGGTCTGACTTGGGCCAAAATCACAGCACTGCACTGAGGATGCCCCGGCTCTGCTCTGGCTCCCCAGCAAACGCAATCACAGCACTGCCTTAAAGGAAGGGGGGGGGGTGTTAAGTTCTAGAAGTTTGCAACTTCTAGCGGTGGCAGAAGTCCCCATCCAGGTGTCCCACCTGGGGGGCTTTGGGAATAAAGCCTGTGTCACAGAAATGTCACCGCGGTGGTGTGACGCTCGGGTAGTGGCAGGGGGGCTCAGTGCATGCACGCCGGGGAAACTACAGCTCCAGGGTGAAGCCAGCCCCGTCCCGAGAAAAAGTCAGGTGAGGTTACAGCCAAGGATAAGAGGAGGAAAAGCAAGGAAAAAACAGGGATAGGTAGAAGAATAATAGAAGGAAGAGGAGAACAACAGGAGCGGATCGCACGCTTGTAGCTTGCACTAGCTCGCCGGCACGCCAAGCAGGATGGGAGAAGCTGCGTCGGGTGGAAACAGTGGCTGGGAAGAAGGGTGTCTCACGGTAAATTGAGTGAGGCTAGCTCAGCCCCAGAGCATGTTTGTGTTGCTGAAACTGGAAAAGGATGAGTGCTTAGTCAGGCTGAGCCCACGAAGGGGAACCTGTCCTCACTCACGTCAGCCCAGCCCGGGTGTGCGAAAGCTGCTGAGCTGAGCCTTCGGTCTCCAGGGGTGAGCTGCTTATATTTATAGGGCTCTGGAAACTTATACGATATGGTTGAAGGGATTTAAAAAAAAACAAAAAAAGAAAAAAAAGATGTAATTTCTCCCTGATAAAGCTTACGATAGCAAATAAAACCCGCATCTAAATCTGGAGGCTGAAAAGAAAGAAGAATCAAATTAAGGGACTTTCAAATCTGGAAGCAAAACTTCACAGATCCCACTGGCCCACTTACAGAAGAAGCATGTTTGTAACTATTCTTTTCCTGCCTTTTTATGTTTTTGAGGGAGGAAGGAGGGAGAAAAAACATTATCAAAGTGCCCAAGAAAAATTCGCCGTGCTTCTGGCTTGTTATTTGGGAGTAACATGCCTGGGAATGGGGGAAGCCCACATGTGGCTTTACTCAAACCCTTTGATCTTTATACGGGCACAGCAGGGCAGGCGCAGGGGTGCATAATCCCACGGGCTGTGCTAACACTTGCTTGTATTTCGGCATACCCAGGAAAGCCTCGCCATGGCGAGAACCGCGCCAGTGAGACGTGGCTTTGGCTGCTCGGCATCACTCGTCTTTCAGCGACAGCGTTTCAGCCCGCACAGCTAACCTGAGCGATGCTCCATCTGAGCAATATTGAAGTTATCCATTTGCTGGTGCATGCCTTAGCCACGCAGAAGATTTACCACTAAGCTTCAAAGAACCCTCATCCTCTTGCTAATGCCATCACTTGGAGTGATTTGCTCCAAGATCGAATATCCCATGCTCCAGCAAGAGAGCAATGACTCTCCCCCTGCCCCGATCCCGGCTTGGAGAGCGGGTGGATGTGGCTGGCTTTGAGCTTTGCAGCCCAGAGGACACGCTCGTAATCGTGACACGCAGCCCCATTTGCATTTTTCTTTTTATCTAGGGATGGCAGCACAAGAGTGCACTAAAAACAAATAGAAGGAACAGCTTTTCCAGCTGGCAAAGGATCCTCAGCACCTCTATGTGGCAGCAGAAGCTGGGAGCAAGCGGGAAGGACAGGAGAGGGGGATGCTTTCTCCACGAAGAGACTCAGTTCATGTCCAAAACCTGCCCAGGGAACCATTCCCGGCACAAGCCCTCGGCTTCACCAGCAACTGGGCATCCAATTCCCACAGGAAAATATCACAGCTCAAAAATTGTCGGGTTTCTTTTTAAAAAGCCGCATTAAAGAGGAACAGATCTCATCTTTTGAGATGCACATGAAGTCAAACCTCCAGCAGCCGTTCCTCCTTGGTGGAGAAAGGGCCTTTCAGAGCCCCCCTGAAACACGTTACCCCCCTCCCCAGGGCAGGATTTGGACCTGAAGTGAGCGTCGGCCTCTGGACACTAATGCACCGAAGTACGGGGACAGACACACCTCTTCTCCTCTTCCTCCCCAGTGTTCCCTCTGGAGCGGCAGCAGAAACGGAGCCGACAAAAGTGGTGCGTGAAAGATCATGCAAAATAGAGGGATGGAGGGGAAAGGAGAGAAGAAGAGACGGAAGAAGGTTGTTAGAGGCAAAGAGAGGAAAGAGAGAGAAAAAGAGGAGTTTAGTTCTGGTTCCTTCCTCCCCCGCCCTCCCCACCGAGAGGAGAGAAAACCTCCCCAGCTCTCACAGCAGCCCCCGGAGGACGCAGCCTGGCCACCCCACAGAGATGGTCACAACCCCATCACCACGGACCCTCCGGACGCCTGCCATGGCCAAGCACCGTCCCTGGCATTTCAAACCCAGCTCCCGGGACGCCAGCCCTCACCAACCAGCTCCTCCTGCCAGGGATTTTAATCCTCGGTCCAGCAAGCAGCATCCCAGTTCACCCAGTGGTTTCCATTATCCTCTCCAGAGGACTAAGGGGGGGTCACCACCACCTTCTAACCCCCCCGAGATACTCGGAGTACTCCAGGCTGCAGGTCCCAAAGCTCATTTGTTAGTTGGGCTTGTTTCTGCAGCGGAGGCAGACTCAGCCATCAGATTAATTGAGAAAGGCGCTCGGAGCAGAGAGCAGCTGCCGGTGGCGTATGTCCTTGTGAGACATTTGCTGCTGCTAATTTGGGGCTTAATCAAAGCAAACGCAGTTATGGTTACATTACTGTTCAATAGGTTCTTTCAGTGGCTTGCTTAGAAAAAAAGAAAAGCAATAAAGGAGAAAGCAGAGATTGATCGGTGTGCTGAGCCTGGCAGAGCATCCCATGGTGTGAGCCAGGGCTGCCGTGGCTTAGCTCAGGCTTTGGGGAGGATGCAGGAGGGCTGGCTGCTTCAAGAAGTGCCGTCACTGCTCAGAAAAGGGGCTGTTCAAACGCTCCGAGCTCAACGACTCTCACCCCGAGAGCTCAAAGCCTCAAAGCACCGCACAGACACGCAGAGGGACGGTCCGGCTTCGGAGGGGTGAAACTGTGGTCGAGAGAGGAGTGAATTGCTCGAGCCCTCGTGGCAGCTCCATGGCGGAGCAAGAGATGGGCATGAGCCTGGCAAGCATCTTGCCCACCCTTGCAACCCATGGGGTCCCCATACCTGGGCACCCAGATGCTCCCTGCACACAGCCACCCTCTGAAATAAGCAGCCCCTTCACTTTGCAGGGTTTATCCCAATCCTCCCAGCTCTCGAGGCTGACCATGCTGCTGTCTCCAGTTCTCATCTTTGCTGGCTGCCGGGGCTCGGTCCCCATGCTGCACTGGCAGCAACTTCCACCGCTCTCCTGGGGACAGCCAGGACCCAGAGCATCTCCTCCCCGAAGGGCTGCACCAAGCATCTTTTCCCAGATCTGCTTGCAAACTAAGCACCAACAGCCTGAACCCTAGCTGGGTTTTCTGGGCGCACCTCCAGGGCTTTGTTGTTGCAAAAATGATGCAAAACGAGCAAGATAACCTTCCTGCTCCCAAATCCCTAAGAAGATGCTGATCTCACCTGCCCACCCCACAGCCCAGTGGCCCCAGCAGATTTGCAATCAGGGGCAGAAAGCGTTTCCCCACGGTCGGTAATGCTCAGGACCGCCGGGAGCAGGAGGGAATGCCGGGGGGGCTGGAGGGGACACGGCAACTCCTTTTCCCACGGGGACGTCTCCTACCTGGTGGTGGGGGATCGCTTCCTTCGCTCACAGTGCACGGCATCGAAGAAGGCGGCGTTCCAAAACCGCAGGTTGTGCCTGCAGGGAGGGAGGGAGATGTTGGGGACGACCGCTTTCCATCTCCCCCAGCTTGTCCCCGAGTCCTCCCAGGACCGAGCTCACCCACTGCCCAGGGGCCAGGAGGTGATTCAAGGGTGGGGGCTAAGCAAGTCTGGCAGATTTGATCCATTTTTGAACCAGCTCCTTCTGCGTCTGCAGACACACACTCTCCCTAGCGTAAGGGATATGTAAAAGCCATGGCCACCTTTTTTAGGGGTGGCAGCAGCTTCAAAGCACTCGTGAACATCTGGGGAATGTGTGGACAAGGAGGACAAATCCCTTCCCCGGGGAGACCAACACCGGGCAGGAGCCAGCTCGCCCCCGGAGAGGCTTTACCAGATCGGCTGCTGCTTGAGGTGCATGTACAAGTAGATCTTCTCTCCTTTCTTCTCCTCCTCTGGGCTCTGCACAGAAACTGTGGGGACACACAGTTACATGCCAAGGTCTGGATGACTCCCATCTTCCCACCCATGCAGACTTTGTGCCCCCCTGCCAGTTTGGCATCCAAGCAGCCGTGACGGCAAGGTTTGCAAACCAAATACTCATCCCCAACACAACCTCAGCAACATGAAGAGGAGTTTGGCTGCCCTTTGTGGGCAAATATTAGCTCTGATCAAGGTGTGGATGGCCCAGGAGGATACCCGAGGGGCTGGACCACTGGTTTGGTAGCACACACAGCTACCAGGGGGTAGACCGGTGCAACACAAAAGCTCAGAGGCAGTGGATGCCCAAACCTCTGCAACCTGTGCCAGAGGACAAGATGCCACAAGATGTCCTTGTGGGACAAGAGCTGTGATTGCTCCAAAGCAAGGAGCTGTGAATGCTCCTTCGGAACACTTCTCTAGGAGCTCAGAGGGGACAGCATCGGTCTTTCCTGCCGTTCTTCCCACCCCACAGGTCCAGCAATGCCGGTCATCTCGTACCACTCCCAACCCTTGTTCCTTCCCTGGGGATGCCTTGACGATGCCTACTTCAGCAATGCTGACTCCACTCACCCGTCTTCTTCAGCTTCTCCTTTGGTTTGTCCTCACCTTCACTGTGGCACAGAAATCAGTGTCAGCTCCCAAACAGCCTGTCCCCCTGAGAGCCCATGTGGCAAAGCCCCGGCCCCCCTGGTGAGGGGAGCACCTTCATTTGAAAGACCCCCTGCTCCAGTGCCACTGTTCCCAGGGCCAGAAAGGTGCCTAAGAGACTGTGATGTCCGTCCCAGTCAGACCCAGTACAGAGATGATGCAGAAGACCACAAAGCAACAGCACCGTCTCCTTGAACCACGTATCTCCATGCCCAAGGGAGACAGGACTCCCAGACCATGAGATGCCAATGACCAAAGTATGAAGCACGGGACTAGAGGCCATCTTCCCATGATAACCTTGATAATCTTGGCCATGATAACCCCTGGCTCATGGTGGCCCTACACCCAGGAGGTTTCTGGCTTGGTCACGTTACAGGTGCCTGCCTCAGCCCACCCTGGCCACCCAACAGAGTGGTACCCACTCGCTCTTTTTGGTGGTGGGACCCTTCAGTTTGGTCTCCAGGCCCCCGAAGAAGCCCTTGACGTTCTCCGTCTTGGCCGATGTGTTTTTCAGCAGCCGCTCCGCAATGTCCTTCTTCTCTGCCAGCCAGCTGTTCGCCGACTTAAGGTACGAGTCGATGCTGCCCATGGGCTTCTCCTTGGCCTCCAAGGGCAACGCATGGGTCTTGCCTGCAGGTAACATGTCAGGAGCTCGGTTGGCCCCACGGTCCTGGTGCTGCCAGCTCCTGGGGGACCTGCTCCCAGCTACAAGATACACCACGGAGACCAGGAGCCAGATGGAAATGGCCCAGACCCCATCCCATCCCAGTTCCTGTAGGTCTTTATCCTCCTCCCCATTTGGGATAGAAAATCCAGCCCCTCAGGGAGGAGTGACCACCATTCCTTATCGCACCAAGCAATAAGCCAAGGTGCTTCTGGGCTGGGGCATTCACATCACATCCCCAGGGTCAGGGAACATCTGGGGATTGCCACGTACAAGCATCCCTGGCTAGAAGCAATGACAAACCAGCATCAGCATGAGCTACCACCCCAGCGAGGGTCTCTGGCAGGTTTGCACAGCTTCTTGGTCACGGAGACTCTTTTCTGTTCAGTATTGGAGTCATCCAGAGTAAACCAAGCTTGGGTACCCCTCCATCACCCTTCCCACGCACAGGGCAGACTTCACCACTGGTCTCCAGCCCAAGCAAAGCCCAAGGGTGCAGGCACCTCTTACCGATGTAGTAGTAGGTGAAACACATGGTCATGAGGTTCTTGGCAGGGCTGAAGTCATCCATCTGGTGACACCTGACACGGAGGGAGGATTTGGTGAAGACACCCAGCGATGGCAACCCAAGCACCCTCGTGGCTGCTGCCCCTCCTCGAGCCATGGGTCCAATCTCAGGGGCTTTCGGTGCTTGCAACGAAGCCCTAACCCCCCCCCTCGACTTACTCAAACAGCACGAGGGCGAACGACTGCATCAGGCGGTAGAAGGTCTGCTCCGAGACGCACTTGGAGTTGCAGCGCTGCAGGTACAAAGCCCAGGGTTCAGCACAGCTCTGCAGGGCAGCTGCCTGCTGCAAGCAGCAAGGGCAACCTCAGCCCACCCCCCCGGACCCCCCCCTCTGCTGCAGGGAGATTGGGAAGTGAGCACAGGCGGTCGGGCTTCCCTCTTGGAGACAGTTGTTTGCCTCTCTGAATTGTTTTTCTAGGGAATAGGACGTTTCTAAGTACTGATGGGATTTCATTTTAAATAAAACAGGTGACTTCTCTCCCACATTGCAACAAGCATGTATTTAACTGCCTCGAGATGCATTTATTCACTTCTGCATCTCCCTGTACTGAAGTTCCTCCTTTTCCCCAAATTCCTGCCCTCCAAAAATATTGCTTTGGGGTATTGCTAAATTCCCCTGGCCTGATCCTCCTGCCCTGGTACAGGATCGCCGCTCCTTCGCCCATCTCTCCCCTTACCTGGGCGCTCACGTATCTCGCAAACCACTCCCTGCCCTTCCCGTTCTCGCTGCTGCAGAGCTCACCAAACCTGGCCTTCTCTTCTTGGTCCAAATCCTCTCTGAAATGGGGAAAAAGAAAAAAAGACACCATTAAAGTTGAAGAGGTGGCCGGCATACCCCAGCCAGCCAGCACGGCTCAGCTCCCCCATGTCATCCCTCTCGGCAGCAGCATCCCGGTGCTGTGATGCCGGGAGGAAAGCAGAGGAAGAGGGGAAGGGGAGCATCCATTTTGTCATCCCTCGGCTTACGCTGCTCTTTTGTTCCTCCCTGGCAGGGGGGAAAACCAAAGGCAGAGGGAGAAGGGAAGAGCCAAGGACAGCCTGAGCAGAAACTGAGCTCCAGAGACAGGCGCTCTGCCCCAGAGCAAAAACAACCCCTGTTGCTGCTCATCATGCTCGGTTTGCTCAATCCTGCTTGACACAGCGAGCCGCAGCATTACGGAGACCACAGCGATGGGAGCTGGGATGGATGTAGGGCTGGGGGGGAAGGTGGGGGGGACAGCCGGGGGCTGCCGCAGAGCCCTGGGGCACATGCGAGCTGCTGGCATTTGCACGAGCATCAGCAAGATGCCCAGTGGGGCAAAGGAGCTGGAGACCCCCAGGCACGGCAAGACCCCTGGCATGGTGAGCCCCTGGTATGGGAAAAGGGAAAAAGAAGAGGGGAGGGAAGCTGGGGGTGGAAGACGAGCCGGGACGTGCCCAAGAGAGGGGTGCAAGTCAGAGCCTGCATCCCCCCCTTAGCTCCGATGCCGCGTTATGGCCGGGAGCAACAAGCTGCGTTAGCCAAGCGCGGGCAAAGGACACAAACCGATGCTCCCGGAGTGGGAAAGCAGCCAGATCCCATCCCGAGGGATATCCCCCAGCGGCAGGCTCAGCAGCGCTCGCCAGCCCCGCTTGCTCACCCCCCCGTGAAGATCTTCTCCACGTAGTGCCGGATGAATTCCCGGCGCTCGGCCGTCGCCTCATCCCGGGCCGACTCAGTGCTCTGGCTGGAGGAGAAGGACTCGACGGAGGAGGACCGGCGGTAGCCGCTCCAGCGCCTGGGAGAGTCGCCCATGTCATTCTCACTGTCCGCCGATTCAGTGGCATCGCTCTCCTCCCCGGCCACGTCCCCCGCGTCCCCCAGGTGCCCGTTGCCGCTGGGGGCGGCGGGAGGAGAGGGCTCCGGGGGGACGCAGGTGGGCGTTTCGGCATCGAAGTCGATGAGGTTCCCTACAGGAACATCCAGGGGGGCCTCCATGGCTCTCCCGGGGGACGTGGCGGTGCTGGGGGGACTCGGTCCTCGTCCTTTCACCCCTCACTGGGGCGTCGAGGCCATCGCCGGCAGGATGCCTGGGAGGACGGGTTGGCTAAGGCAGGCAGACCCTTCTGTGGGGGGACGGGTTACCGGAGGACATCTGAAAGACAGGGGGAGGACAAGAGTGAGGACAGGGCCCCGGGGAACTGTCACCGTGGATCTTGGGCAAGGAGAACACAGACCACCACCTACGATGTCCCCTGGATGCCCATCAGCAGCAGAGATGGACAGGACAGGGACAGAGCGGGCAGACAGAGCTGGCTGCCCTCCATCAGCCATGGGAATAGGCAAACCCACGCAGCGCTTGTGTGCTTTCTGCACCGTTCAAGTGGGTTTTTCATCCTTTAGCCCAGAAAAGAGATAATTTGAGCCTAAGCTCCATATGCCACATTTGGGATGTGACATCTCGCAGCCTGACGGGCAAAACTGTGCCGGCGTGAGCCAGCAGCTGGCAAACACCCTGGTGATTTTCCAAGAGGAGAAGCATCCTCCTCTTCCCTTCTCTCCTGTCTGCTCACGGGTCTGCCTGACCTCATTTGGAAACGGGACCATCTCTGGGTTGGAGCATCCCAGTGTTAAACATGCACGGACTTAAACCAGGAATGGAAACGGGGGTGCTGAACACAACAGAAACTGTAATGGGATGTGGACGTAGGGCTCTGGATTGCAATTAGATGCATTAGTTTTGGTGTCCAACCCAGATTGCAGAGGGACAAAGAAGGGGCTGTCCTGAAGCTGCCTCTTTTCAGAGGGTCACTCGTGTCCTCAGTGAGCGTGTTTCTGCCCCGGGAGGTGGCAAGTGATGCCTTCCGAGAAGTGAGCCCGGGACGAGCGGCCCCGCTGCAGCAGCCGGGCACGGGGCCAGCGCAGGGCAAGGCAGGACGGCACAGGAGCAGGGACAGCAGCACAGGTAAAAGCAGTGACAACCCCAGGGCAGCATGACAGCAGCACTGCCGCAGCCCCGCTGCCTTCGAGGGAACTGATCCCAGGATGCAGGCAACTACCCCCAGAGCAAAAAAAACCCACCCAGATTTCTTTCGGCTCAAAGACTAGCATACCCCAAAGGACCAACATCCAGTTCACCAGACAAAAAGGAGTTCAGAAGGAAACCAAATCTAAAGTGTTTCACCAAACAGAGCACTGTCCCAGCTCAGGGGCTGGGAAAATAACCCATCAGCTACAGGAGAAGCAACTCTCCCAGCAGTGCCCTCCTCCTTTGGGTCAGCGGGGTGCTGGGACCCCTCAGGACAGAGAGGGAAGGACAACGCCGCACCCTCCCTGAGTATCAGACCCTGGAAAAGCCCCTCTCACCCATGTCCCCGGGGCCAAGACACAGCAAAGAACCAAAAGGAAAGTCGCCTGGGCTTGCAGAAACTCATGCACCCAAACACCAAGCAGTCTCTTTCCCCCTCTCCACCAGCACCTCGCTCTCCCACCCTCCCTCACGCCGAACCCCCGCTGTCCCCCCCCCTGCACGCACCTACACCCAGGCCTTGGGAGAGCCGTGAGGATGCTGCCGCAGTCAGCGAGCCGCCGAGAACATCGGCTGTTGGAGGAGCAGCCGAGAGGCTGCGGCACAGGAGGGACTGGCGACGTGCCCGTGGGGAGCCAGCCAGCTGCAGCCCCGGCTTTACACCCCCCCTCCGGCGGCGTGACCCCCTCCAACCAACCCTTCCAGCTGCAGGGATCACGCTGAGCTTCATCCATCCGCCCACCGGCCCCTTCTGACTCCCAAGGCAGCTGCAAAATCCCTTTTTGGAGCGGGGAACTCCTCCGTCAGCCCTTCCAGCGCCCTGCAGGTTTGGGGTCAGAGCTGCCTCCTCACAACGCTGCCAGCACAAGCTTGTTTCTGACCATCCCAGGGTGTAATTTAAGGGGAGGCGGGTGAGGATGCACGCGATGGACCTTCACGCAGCCATGCTTTGCAGCATGTGCCTCCCTCCCTAAGTTGCTCTTCCCCTGTGCACCGCGTTCGGGAGCGTGCCTGGAAGCCGAAGGTGGCAAGATCTGCAGAGTGAGCTGTCAGAGCTTTTTGAGAATATTTTCTCAGCTCAGCACTTAATGGAAGGAAATTGGTGGGGACAACAAAGCCACCTGCCCAGGTAACAGGCACCACATAGATGTGACACGGAAAAAAGTCCCATCCAAAAGACTTTGTGCAGGTACCCTGTGAGCTGGGCACTCCTTGGCATGTGACGGTCCCATGCCCCCTTTCATGTGCAGCCTCTAAAGAAATTGCTGAATTTCCTCTACCAGGTGGGCATCCTTATAAGTATCCACCCCAATCAGATTGCTCCCACTACATGACTTAGGAAGACAATAGCATTTCTCCACTGGTTCTTTGCAAATGCGGGGGGAGCACAGCCTGTTCCAGAGCCGCTGATCGACCCTCTCCCATGCCCAGCCTGCCACTCATCCTGCTCACGGCTGAGTGGAGAGCTTTGCAGAAGCTGCTCCAAGCAACACACCGCTCAGGAGCAAGACATAGCCAAGATTAAGGAGTTCCAGCTCTAGAAAACAAATATAAATGAAGATGCATTGCTCAGACATCAGCTCTGGCTCTGGGCAGCTCTGTCCTGCCCCAGAAACCCAGTGCCAGCACATCGGCGGCACATGACAGAGACAACCACCTCCAGGAGTACATATTTCTCCAGACATCACCAGAAACTGTACTGGGGTGATGGTGGCCCCCGGCTCTGCTTCAGGCCATGCCAATGCCCAGGAGGGACAGAGAGGCATCCCCGAGCTCTCTGCCAGATGTGGAGACCCGGCAGAAGGCAGATGTGGCATTGCTGCCCGACCAGCCTCTGCCCCCTCCAAGCAGCAGGTCAGGGACTGCTCGGCACACAGCAGTTTGCGGGAGCTCACACACAGCTCTCGGCACACTCCACTGCCCAAGCAACTGCTCTAAAACACATTGACCCATGTTTTCCCGGCACCCCTCGTGCCCTTCTCCATGCACACGCATCCCACGACCTTCTGGGAGAGAGGACTGGAGGTGCAAGCTGAGCAAGACCCCAGGACTCACAGCGGCTATAAGCAGCGTTGCAAAAGCTCAGCAGAAACTTGGCCAGGGCTGCAGGCAGCATTAGTAAGTACATTCTGCTCGCTGAGGGCCAGAAAGAGTTTAACCACTCCCTGACCAGCTCACGATAAAGTCCTGCCCTTGAACAAAGGCCACAAAAGGTGTTTCAAGGTGCTGGGAGCTGCTGTGGGTGCCCAGGCTTCCCAGGCATCTCCACAGCCTCCAAGCTTGTTGGGTTCTCAGCACAGAGCCCAGAAGAGCTTCAAAACCAGAACAAGCCTCAAACTCAGCCCATACCTAGTCCACAACCCAGTTGTTGCTCCAGCGGAACAAATCCAGGAAAGGAATAGCCAAAATACAAACCGAAAGCCCCAGCTCCCACAGTCTGAGCACTCAGCTCCATCTGCACATGGAGATCAGCTCGGCTGCACATCCCACCACTGCCCAGGCAGAGCCTGGGGGATCCTGCTCCCAGCTTGCCACTGCTGGGTCGAGTTTGAGAGCTAACAAGGGCTCTGGAATAAAAAGGGGCTTTTGGGCTGCTCGGGAGCCTTACTACAATGTCACGAGTTTCAGCATCATCATGAGCTTCAGCATCTTTGGGGTTCTGCAGTTCCTGGGCTGACTTTAACCACAAAGCTCAACCAGACAGGCAAGGTAGCGTGTAGCTGACTACAGGCTTTCTTGCAAGCAAGCATCTTCTAGCACATCTGTATTCCCCATGGGCATCTGGTGTACAAGAAATCCACGTCTTCCTGCTGGAGACACGAGCCTGGGAACATCATCAATGAAGAAAGAGCTGGCTGGAGCCACGCATGGAAATGCCACAGGAAACCCACGGTGCCCCTAAACTTTGGAAAAGGCCTGTTTTTTTACTGAAAAGAAGTGCTGGGGTAGATCTGAATGACACACCTGTAGCTGCACATACCTGTGCAAGCAGCTTTCATCCACGATCTGCCTTTGAATCCAGCATTTCTGGCCCACCACAACCAGAGAACTGCCCAGTTTTGCTGCTTCCTCCACCTGCATCAACCTCTGCAACATCTCAGCTCTCTAAGAAGGGGGCAAAACCTGCCGACCCCCCCCACTGTGAGAACCATGGGTGGTGCGGGACCCGCCATGCCCAGGTACCCAGGGGTAACGCTGCTGCCAGCACTTGGAAAGGAACAAAACCAAGTTGGTTTGTGCAGCTCCAAGCCCTGGGGCTACTGGTGGGTCGGTGCCCTGAGGAGTTCGGCAGGGAGGGACGGGAGATGTCGCGTGGCTCTGCCCTGAGACAGGCCTGTGCAAGCCCAGAAGGGACCCATGGGGTGTTTAAAGCCAATGCCGGGAGAGGAAGGGAGGAACAAGGAGCAGGGATGGAAAGCAATGGAGCTGGGGATGAGGGCAGACCTTTTTTCTGCCCTATGTCAGGGGAAGGTTGCAGCTTTGCCATCCTCCAGCCACCCTGGTCCCAGCACATCCTTTCCAGGGGACAGTACCACCCAGTCTAGGTTTGCAGTTGAATTTCTTCTTCTCCTCGCAAAGCCTGGGGAAATGACAGACAGGGGCAAAATAAAAATCACCCCCAAAGCCTCACCGAGTGATGCTGAACTGGCACCCACAGGACCGAGACCGCAGAACAGTGATGATAAAAGACACGACACAGCCTGGCTTTGAGCACAGCCTTCGGGGACTCTCTGTGCTCACGTGCTGCTGCCAGCACTGGTGCAAGCAATGCACCGAGGGCGTGATGTTCTTCCCAGGGCGAACACCTTCACTCCACCCCAGGGACTGTTATTACCCTGCAAGATGAATGGCCTGGCCAAGGTGACATGGTAAACCCAAAAATCCCCCTCCCACCAGCACCACAGACCCCATCATCCCACCCAAACCCAGTGGCTGCCTGGACCTCCGCAGCAGCAGCTCCCTCACCGTGCCAGCAGCATGTGTCCCTGTGCCACTCTTGGTACATCCTGCCACAAGCCTGCGTTTTCCAGGGATTTCAGGATGAGATGCTCTCTCCCAGCATCCCTAAACCCTGCATGGAGTTTCCCCTTGGGGCTTTTTACAAGACTGCTGGGTGCTGAGGTCAG